CATGTGTCCGACCTGTGTGAGCATCTGCTTCTTAATGAAGTAGAAATGAAGTGGTTAGTACAGTTCTGACATGTTTCACTGGGTTCTTGATGATAATTGATCTCCTGCCTGAGGCTTTGAGGATTCGTGATAACCTGTAGTGAGCAGCTTTTGATCTTTTGATCATTTAAATCTGATGGTGGTCTTGATGAATATTAAGACGTTATTTAGGTGCGTGGAAACTTCTGGCTATTTCCTCGATGAATCGCTATCAGGACGTGAAGAGGATTTCAAAACAAATCTTTAAGTGAATTGTATATATATATATATATATGTATGTGCAAAAACATCACTTCACCTAGTTACTGCCTCACAAAGTAGGTTAGCAGATAATGTTGACAATATGCAAGACAACAGGTAGCCATGCAACCTGCACAGCGGACAACTTCAAAGAATACCTCAATGAAAAACATAATCAAAAATTCATCATAATGATAAATAATATATATTTACGGTCCAGTTGTCTGTCATGAGTTAATTAAGTGATGGACCCCTTCAGTGTCTAACACCATATAATACAACGTTTGCTCTTATATTTCTATGGAGAGGATTGTTGTTTTAAAAGTGTTGTGGAAGTATTACAAACTTGAAGAGCAGAGCAGCGTCAAAACATCTGGAAAAACTCACTTCTCATGCAATATTTTCTTTTCTTTATTTCTTCTCTAGCTTTCTCCCATCAGCTAAAATGAAATGGCTTTCTGTCTTGAATATAACAATTGCACCAAATGAATTGAATTCGCCTTAACAACAAACCATGACAAGAACAATTCTAAAACTCACATTTCACACTGATAAAGCACGAAGCTGAGAAGAGACAAATGAAAATTTCTGCAAACAGTTCATCACCACGCGGGTCAGAAAGATGATGAATCAGACGTATTAATGTAACTTCCTCCTCTCCTCCGCTCTGTGTTATTTATTAAAACAGAGGAGGTATAAAGATAAATCAGGCCGACGCTCAGTTTGTGCAGTGTAAAACCTAATCATGCTGCTGCACTTACATTTATTATTGTTGTAAAATTGATTCCTGACGTTACAGAGAGATGTAAAAACAAATGAGCATCGTGCTCGCAGATCATCGGGCACAGCTTTGTAACAGAGCAGTCTGATAATGAGCAAACTGAAATGATTTACAACATTTCCCCCACACGGCACCATATAGGATTATCAGTAATGGAAAGACACAGACATCGATGCTCCAGTAAAACAACAGAAATAGTCCCTAATCATTAGTTAGTTCGTTTTGAGTTAAACGATATGATATGTAACAATTCTTTTAATAATACATTTAATAACTACACCTATGTTATATATATTTTTTGACTTGGGTCACATTATGTCTCATTTTGGTCGTTTTGTTTTTAATGGAGACAACAACTCCCATGATCCCACGCTGCTTCACGACGTCACCAGACTACCGTCATGGTTTCGATTGAAAGACCCAGAGAGGCCGAAGTTACATCGGATTAACGTTGACATGTCGATGAATGTTTTCATAATGAATATCAAGACTCTAACGTTTACTCTGCAGTGTAGAAAGTTTGCATGTATAATGTTGCACCACCCGCAAACACAAACACTCTGAGCCAAGCCCGAGAGAAACCACTTCCCTTTTGAAACATGCTGTTTTCACCCCTGCTCCCTTTGA